CAAATCCTACATGGTTACAGTGTCCCAGTCACATTATCACCATTTGCAATCTCCATCAACTTCCCCGTTGGCTTGTTGACAGCGAACAATGAGGTTCACAAATGGCAATCACATAACCATGGATGTTGTGAACAATGGATGTTGTGACTATTTTAATTGCAAATTAGTTGCCAAATGCCCAAATTGTAATCACGTGATCACTGGGAGGTTGCAATACAGAACAGTTGTTAAGCTCCCTCATTGTTGTAAATTTGAAAGGTAATTGAAATACCGGTTGCTGAACAATCTTAATGCATGCAAACATATTTTTAAAAAATGCTTAGATACTCTTCTGAATACTCTTTTCAATGTACTTCAAAGGCAACATGGATACTTGGGACTAACCCCTATTTTTCATTTTTAAATTAGTCTTTAAAATATGAAAGATACAATATGACTTCTGAGGGACAGTGCCTGTTTATAAGTTGAGTCCCTTTTTGTGATTTTACGGAGTTGGGGAATTTGCTGAAAATCTTTGGTTTTGCTCTCAATTTTTGAACCAGTAACTAATATAAACATGAAAGGAAATAATAATAATAATAATAATAATAATAATAATAATGATGATGATGATGATGATGATGATGATGGAAGGGACTTTGGAGGTCATCTAGTCCAACCCCCTGGTCAGGCAGGAAACCCTATACCATTTCAGACAAATCTCTTTTTAAAAACCTCCAGCGCTGGAGCATTTACAGCTTCTGGAGGCAGGTCGTTCCACTGATTAATTGTTCTAACTGTCAGTTAGTTCTAGGTTGCTTTTTTCTTTGGTTAGTTTCCAAATAGTGGATGCCTGTTTTGGCTTCAACTGCCCTTACACTACAATTATTTGGTTTTAACAATCCATTTGTAAAAATCATAAAACTGTTATAATATTTTAATTTCATTATTACATAATGTATGAGATACAGATTGTTAGTGCTTAATTAAATATATACATTTTTTGTTTAAGATGGAGTACAAAATCTCTGAAACACTGATCAAGGCAAAAAAAGACATACAGGTATCATTGCTTAGAACTAAAAATATGGTTCAAAATGGTCCAAATACTTACATGCTTTATAAAAACACGAGGAAAATTCCATTATCATTCATATCCAAAATGGTTTAAAAAAGAAAAAAGAAAAAAATTAGATACTGCTTAAATCTCTCCAAAAGTTACTGTTTTAATATTTTCAATTTTCAACACTCTTACCTTGATTACATCAACCCAATTCCATCCTCGAGGAAGTTCTCCTTTGTGATCTAATCAAAATAAAAATTCTGTATGTATTTTTGCAATTTGAATTCAAGCATCTATTCTGAAATTAATGTATTAATTTACACCATAGTTTGTGGTAAAGTTTAAAATAGCAAACTCGGGCTTATTGCAAATTGTTATGAATAACTAGGCAATGCTTGGCAGTGATGAGGAAGAGAACTTATGGCCCTCCAAATGTTTATGAATTTTAACTGTCAATGTCCCTGACTACTGACATTGCTGAGAGTTCTGGTTCAACAATCAAGATTCCACAAAAGAACACGATTCATTACTATTCTGCTAGGAAACAAAAATTACTTAGACATACCTATTGCACACAAAAATTCAACATAAACCATAATGAGTGAAAAAGCCTGTATTTGCTTTATTCTATATAGAAAACGTATATTCTACACCATACTTTTTTAATTAAAAGAAAATTAAGATGTATTAGGAGTAAATTATACAAACCCGTTTTGTCAGCTAACTTCCGCTTTTGCGTTTTGGACAATTGTTCCTTTTTCTCCTTTTTCTTAGTTGGTGGTGCTGCATCAGAATGTCCAGTTGAGATGCAGTTATTTAATACTGTCTAAAGAAATGAAATGTATTATTTATTAAGAATTCTCTGTAGTTTATTAATTCTATACTTGATACTTGCATTAAATGGGATGAAAAGTCATTATATCTGCTTAAACTTTTCTGTTGTCAATACAAAATTTTTTGTAGGATATAATAAGTAATTTTAACCACTGCTCCTGGAATACTAGATTAATATAGGAATGTCAAACATTGCTACGAATTGAATTCAATCTTAAAGTGGCAATTCAATATCAAGAAACAGATAGATTGCATAGGCAAACATTTTCATATGTTGAGATAGGTCAACATTTGGGAATATAAACTTACCACAGTATTAACTGGTTGATTTTCCATGAACAGTTCTTTATTATCTTTGGCATATTCAAATATTGTATATGTCATTGAGGTTCCCAGGTTAACCTCAACTTCTTCCATTAATTTATCCAATATACCTTGTTTTACAGTCGAGGATCTAGGGCAGATGGCAAAGAAGAGATAAAAAGTTAATTCTAGAAAGACAGCTTTTTGAAAGTCTTAAGAACTGGACCACTTACATAGCATTGTTGAAGAATGCATCCATTGATATGACTGGAGCAGTTTGTGGGTATGTTTCTGGCCATGATATTTCTATAAGGAAGGCTTTGGGGTCTCCACTTTCACCTATCTAAAAACATATATAAATCATGTCTATATGGGAATCCAGTCAATTCAAGTTTTAATCAACAAAAATACTGAAATACAGATATTTCATTTTTACATTCAATGTCAATTTTTAGAAGGAATTTTCAAGAAGTATTATGTCCAACATGTGAGTATTAAAAATACTAATATAATTTCACCAGAATCAGTAAAACAGCTACACTGCAGGAAACATGGCAGTATATAAATTTAATAAATTATGATTATATCAATGATCAGCAGGACCTTTCTACCATAAGCTATATTCACTTTTCATAAATTATGAAAATATATTAAGAAAATGAGTACACCAATCTGAAAATCTCAGTGTAAAACTTGGTATATAGTCTTGAGCTGTTGCTGTTTATATAACTAGTATACCTTGGTGTTGTAGCTAAACTACAAACTGTCTTAAATATTGTTGTTGCTGAATAACCACTCATTCAGAGACTGTTCAAACTTACAATGGCGCTGAACAAATGGTATTTACAACTGATCCTTGTTTCTGATGGTCGCAACATCCCTGAGGTCATGTGATAACAATCCAGGAGCTTGAGTTCATAATTATAATATCGTAGTATCCTGCAGTCACATAATCAGCATTTGTACCTTCTTTGCCAGCTTCCTACAAGCAATAGGGAAACTGACAGGAGGTTGCAAATGGCAATCACATGGCATTGCGCTTAACATCGGTGAATCCATTTAATGGCAATCAGAAGTGCTGGAATTTTCATCGCTAAATACTGTGCTCATGAGACTTCATGCTTTATGACCATTTTGCTTAGCAATGGAAATTCCGGTCCCAAGCACCATTGTTTAGTGAGGACTACCTTGATAAAAATAGAACCTAAAGCCTGGAGGTTAATATAGGCTCATTTGAATTAATACAACTCACCCTATATTGAAATGAAATGGGACTAAGTTCCCTAAAACACTCATCACCTTCATAAATAGAACGCAATGCTTCTAACTCCATCTGAAAGAAAGCACAAGCAAACACTTTATAGTTTTATTTTTAATTTAATCTTAAACTGTATTGGGAGATCTATAAACCACTCAGCCAGGCATGAGTGGAATGGTATATATATTTAGTAAAATATTTAAAATAAATAAACAATATCTGATTGAACATAATCTTAAGTCACATTTTAGTAGTTTTCAAAAATATTAAAAGAATATTAAAAGAACTCTATAATCCTAGGAAGCTAACCATACTACATATGTATGTGATAAGTATGTGATAAGTCAATACATGTTTTCAATGGCAGATGTCATCAGCCATAAAGTATAATCAGTAGCATTGGTTATAAAAAGACTGAAAAGAATCAGAAATTGCTTTTTATGGTGCATGAAAAAAGAACATATATGTATAAAAAGTGTATAGAGCTGTAGAAAACGCTAATTTCCTAAAGAAAAATGATCTTAGCTATATTTACACAGCATCACAAATGCATCATTTGGGTTTTATGGAACCACTCCTTAGTACAACCATGGAGCAGAAAGGGTCTATTTAGACCAGAGTTTTTCAAACCTGACAACTTTTAAGATGGGTGGACCAACTCCCATAATTCTCCAGCCAGCGTGTTAAAGTTACCAAGCTCGAAAAACACTGGTTTTAATTAAATCATCCAATCCAAATTCTACTGAAGAAAGTTAAACCAGAGTTTCGTGCAATGGGTGATGCTGATAACATCTGTCAAAACGTTCCAGTTACCCCATCGTCAAAGTTCCCCGCGTGGCACTAGGGGACATTTGCAACACAGGCAAGCACTTAACAGGTGGAGTTGTTTTCCCCGCGTACTGCTGATCTGCTGCTATACAGCATATTCTCCCCCCCCCCCTCCAGCAGCTCCTACAATTAAATGCAGGGAAGGGCGGTTCTTTCCTAGCCACGCCCCTCAAGGGGAGGTTTTCACGTAAGCCCAGGGCGTCTTTACTCCTTCCATTCCCGGACTCTGCCAGTCTATTCCACGCCTTCCTATTTCTCACCTCCTGGTCCTCGTTCGCCGTCATGGCGCGACACCGGGGAAGAAGACGCCCCCCCCTCCCCGGCTCCTTTCGCTCTCTCCCTTTTCACGGTCTCCTGGGAAAAAAAAAATTGCACGTCAATCCGAGTGGGAATCGAGCACGCCAGATCAATACAGAAGATTGTCCTCGGTGCGCAGGCGCCAAAAATGACAAGGCGGAAGGGGAGTCAGGCGCTACCTCTTTAGCGGTGATTGGACAGCGTGATCATCTTCGCTCCACTTCCTCTAGCTGACAATTGGTCGATTCTTTTAACCATACCCTCTGATTTGCACGCTCTTTACCCTAGACCAGAGCAAAGCTCGGTCGGTTCCGCCTCTTTGTTCCTTCTTCTTTTCATTTGCCGCTTCGCAGAACTTTAGCTCTGCCCATTTCTTAGCACGTTCCAATAGTTGGCGCCGGGCGCTCAGGAGCCGCAGTGCTTATTGGTCAGTTATGGCTATCAATCTTAATTCGCCTGGTAAATGTTTTCCTCAGACAGGCCTCGGGTTTCTGTTCGAAGTTTTCCCTCTTTCCTCTGCACCCGATTGTCGTATGGATCGTGTCACCGAAGGCTGAGGGCGAGGTGCTCCTTCCATACCCGGGGAGGTCGTAGTGCAGGTGCGAGGCAGGGCAACTGAGAACGGAGTCGCAACGGAGCTTGCAGTGTGAGCAGATTCTCTCAAGCAAAGACACAAGGGGCGGCAGGGGCGGCGGCTGAGAAGTAGATTAAAACTGTACACAAGACATTCTGTCATTGTTTTTGGGAAAGTATTTCGGTTTCGTAGGTATGCCGCTTTTACGTAGAACGTGAAATGGAGACTTGAAGATTTTAATAAAAGCGGTATGCGTTCAGATTTAAATAAGATTTAAATTAGATTTATTTAATTCCCTAAATTATTTGTTTTCTCCTGAGGAATAAAATAAACCACTATTCTCTGGAATTACAAAATATGCTAAGCCATCAACCGTAATTTGCAAATCACAGTGTTGGCCTTCATGCAGTAGGAAAAAAAAAGAATACTCTTATTTTATATGGCGTGTAACCCAAGCTCAATGTGTTTTAGCCTTTGTGGAATAGTCTTCAGTCTGCATGGCTGCCATTACTATGCAACAAATGATTGCAAAACTATATTAATGTAAAATAAAACCAAATAAATCAAAAGAATAGAAAAATGATTTGGTGATAAAGCTGAAAATAGGCTGCCCTTTTCTGCCTTAGAAGGTTTATTGGTTTTATTTTATGGCCGTGGTTTCCCAAAACCTTTAAAAATGAGAAATATATGTAGTAGTATGGAGATTATAAATGTAGCCATATTTGATGTGAATAAGTGGGACTCATTGGTAAATTTATTTGAATATCTTTAAAGTTCACAGGTAAGTAATTTTTTTGAAGAAGATCTATAAACTAGCCTGTGGCCTAAGATTGAATTTTTTCTATCTGGTTCAATTTAGCTACAGGCAAAACCACTTTAAGACACACAATATTGTAGTGAAATGTCTAATAGAATCTATAATTATTCACGGTATATAAACTTTATATCTTGCTATACAGAAACACCTAAATTTATGTCTGCTTGTCACAAGTTTAGAATAACAACTTTAAATGTTCTGCATATTACAATACTTGTTAGGAAAATTATTTTGAATATTTTTCTGCTTAAAGTTTCAGACTATATTTGGAACCGTCAATATGAGCCCTTCACAGTGGGATTTTCCAGTGGAATTATGTTGCCGACCAATGGCCTTTGTTACACTCACTGGTTTGGATGTTGTATATAATGCTGTTCATCGAGCTGTCTGGGATGCCTTTTGTGCAAATAGGAGAGCAGACAGAGTACCAATTTCTTTTAAAGTACTTCCCGGTGATCATGAATATCCCAAATGCAGAGTAAAGGTATTACCCTAAATATTACAGTAAGAGTTAAAAGTCATATTTTAGTGTAAGTTTATTTTACTGAGATTCAAGTGTTTAAATTCTGCTTTTGCATATTCCTTTTTCAAGGTTATTTTGGAATTAACATTAGTAAAATAATTCTTTCAAAAGCAAAGGTAGAGATATGCAGCTGTATTAAATCAAGCTGAAGAAATAATGCAACATAATTTTAAACCTGCTTCATTAAGAATAAGTTTAGCAAAACTCATGCCGTACATATGCATGTTATGATTTAAAGATAAGCAGGGAAGAAAAATATAGAGCGCTAAACTGGGAGACTGTAGGTTCTTGTCCTGCCTTAAGCATGAAGCCAGCCATATAAGTTTCTACCAGTCATTGTCTCTTAACTCTAAGAAGAAGGCAATGCTCAATGACTTCTGAAATTTTGCCAAGAAAAATATAAATATTAGTCTAGGCAGTCACCAGGAGTCAACATTTACTAGAGGGGACTTAAAAAAGTCACCTGTCTACAGTAGTGATGATACTATTTTTCAACTTTTTCAGAGATTGTCATATGAATGGTACATTCCAAAGGGTATCCTGAAAACAGGTTGGATGAACAAACATCTGAATTTGGTTCCTGCACTTGTTGTGGTATTTTATGAACTAGATTGGGATGAGCCACAGTGGAAAGAAAAACAATCAGAGTGTGCTACTAGAGTTGAAATTGTCAGGTATTATTTTATCTATACTATAAAATACTGTTTTAGACTAACACTGAAGAGGGAAAGAAGGTATAATTCACATTTTTTCTTCTTGTTTTGGAATAGAAGCTATTATCTATGTGCATTTGCTATTGCCCATCTGAAAGAACAAATAAATTTTAGTTTGTTAAGTCCCATACATATGGTATTTCTGCCTTAAATAATTGATTGCCTGAAACTTTATAAACTTTAGTTAGCTTAATGTCTTATTTTTTTCAGGCAGAGTTTGCAGGGCCGAAACACAAAAGTTGCTGTAGTTTTAATTCAGAAGAAAACCCCCTTACCTCCAGGTAAAATACAATTTAACTACGGTTGTATGATTGAAATATGGTAATCTAAAGTAATGTGGAATGTTGTTCTTGTTTAGTGAGCAGAAATATGAGCAGTGAAAACAGTTGGAAATAGTTTAGGTTGGAATCCAGTATTCATCTTCCACCAATGAAATTTTTGTCAATGAAAGCAGGACATTTCCCCTCTGGTTTTCAATAAACCCAGAAGGACTGTCCTGGATGATAGGATATCCTTTGGAACAGATTTGTAAAGTTTGCCCTATCACATTTTTGACAATCGAAGCAGTTCTGTTAAGGGAAGAGAAGACTAGATGCATTACAATAAACAGGAACTTTTTGTTTATAATACAACTACACTTTGTAACTGACAATTTTGCAGTACAATTATACTTATTAGGAAAAATATTTAAAACAATAAAAGATATAGAAAAAGATACATCTGGGAAACCTTTTAATAAGGGCTTTGGTTAAGATAATGAGAGTCTGCATTTTAGAAATTCACAGACAAAAGATTTTCTCTTCCTCCTTTTGAAAATGCATAATTCATATAAATTATTACTTGAAAGAACTGTCCATCAAGCCAATTGCTCTCAAATGTTGTTTTTACAAATTACAACTTGAAATTTGGATCAGTCTGGACATACTGTAATTATTTGCTATAGCCTGAAAGCCATCAACCTATAAAATGGATCAGTCTTTCCTATGAAATGGATCAATTAATTATTTCAGCTGTTGCATAATGAAAAAAACAGTTACAGCTGTATGCAGAGGAGTAGTGATTCTGATTCTTTCTAGGAAGGTGGTTGCAGTCAGAGTGTGAGGAGAGATCAAGCCTTGGGCATCGGAGTTGCTACAGGGCTGATTCTTCTCCCTCATCTTACTGAGTATCTCAGACGATAAGGTTGTATAGCACTTGGCTATACAACTCCAGACTGAATGGGAGACAAGTGGAAGTCTTGATCTTGTGTTTGGAAGTTATGGGTTTGAAAGGGGAGGAATACATTAAAAATCAAACAGCTGGCTATTCCAAAAGCCAACTGATTACAAGACAGTTCCAGCTTTACTTGTGAATAGGCTTGTGATCTCCCAAAATAAGATGGGTCATAAAATTTGGTGGTCTTTCAGACTAACAGCTTATGCCAGATGAAGAGGTGCAACTTGTGGTCGAAGGACTTCTGCTCAGCTTGGCCTTGTATTCCAATTATGATCATTCCTGGAGTAAGAGACAGTAATAATTACTTGTATTTTTACTCCTCATGGTTGTATTATTGTAATTTCCTTTACACAGGACCACCTAGAAATGACAGCTAGTGCAACATGCAGTGGTTTGCATATGAATGGTATTGTTTTGATATTCCCATATAACTTCTGTATTGTGGGAGCTGCATTGATTACCAGTTTTTGTTTTCTGGGTGCAGTTCAAGGTGTATGGTTTAGGACTTGGATATCTATAAGACTGCTTGCTTTGAGTAGAATTTGCCCCTCTGAGATATATATAGAGAGAAATTTGTTAAGAGATATCTGTTCTCTGCTGAAGGTCATCTCTTGTGCAGTCAGATACCCTTCATCCTATTTATTAACATTTATATGTTTGTAAATTAGTTAAATTGGCCCAATTAAAGAGGCATATTCAATTGTTTGAGACAAAATACATATATATGATATTGTTTAATCATGTTGATTCTCAGTGATTCTGTGTACTAGTTTTCTTCACATTTTTTGATCTTATATAGCTTCTTTCAGTTGTTTCATTGTTTCCTAGATACAGTTTATTAAAGTTTGTGAATATTTGGATTAAGATTATTCAAATCATTTTTGAATGTGCCTGTTTGTGTTTGCTCTAGGAGAAGATGTTATTGCTTCAGAAAGGGCAGCAGCTTTATGTAATGCTTGTGACCTCTCTGGAAAGTCGTTGTTTGTTTTGCCACACACTGATCATCTTGTAGGTTACATTATAAGGTAAGCAGATAATATAAAATATAGGTTTTTCCACATTACTTCTTTAGAGGCAGAAGTCTTGTGTTGATATCCTTAGAAGCATGCTGGTGAGATTTACTTTAAAGTAATTGGTATAACAATGCCTTTCACAATGTAAAATCACTTTCTACTTTTCCCAATTATTTTATCTTTTGACGTAAAGTGGGACTAGCAATTTCAGAGCCCCAAGATTATCCCATCAAAATTAAGTAGAAAAAAAGTCCCCATCCCATTTTGGGATGATTTAATTTTGTTAAGGAAAAAGCTAAAGCAGATGCATCGGGTTGCTGTTATTTTTATTTTTTCTGAATCCACTCGTGGAAAGTTTACCATGACATCTTATCTATCCCAAATCCTTCCAAAAGTTAAAAATAATTCACTCTGGATCAAATATCTACGTTTATTTCTTATTGCCATCTCTTATCAATTGTTGTCTAATTAGATATAATAGATTCCGTCTCCACAATAACTCTGTCTTCCCAAATAGAAGTGATTTCCAGTTAGGTCGGTGTAATAAATCCATCCAGTCTCCCTCAATCTTCGTAAGAAGAGTCCTACTATTGTAGGAATACACAGACTTAAACTTCAGAGAAACAGATGGGATTAACTCAGTTAATGCTTCAGGCATGAGAGTATCTCTTTGGTTTGGAACTGGATTCAAATCTTTTTGTGTACCTTTATGCAAAGTTACATGCCCAGCATATTTTACAAGATCTTTATTGTCTCATCAAGCTTTTTAAGGAGAGTTTCAGCTAGAAGCTGCATACACTCAAGCATCATTTCTTAGGTTTCAGCCATTGTTTAGCCATTCTCTAGTCTATGAAATTTGATCCAAGAACAAAGAACATTGAAGCAGAAGGTAGTCAAAGGGATATTTTCTCAATGTTTTGGTATATTTCAATCCAAGATTAAAAGAAAAATTAAAGAAAACTCCAAATATTTTACAAAGCTCAAAAAGTACACAAATCTTGTGGTGAGAGCCTAATATTGAAATAAATAAAAGCTCTTCCCCCTCCCAAAAGCATGTCGTGCTTTCTTATGGAGGGAACAGAGGTTATCCAGAATGATATATATCAGGGGACAAAAAGAAAAAAACATTGCATTTATGAAATATTGAGAGGATGTTGATAGTGTTCTCACAAAAATATTGTTCCTGGGTTTTGGATTGTGAAATTCCATTAAGTGAGAGCCAGTCTAGTAGGTTAGCTATTTGCCTAGAAGCCAGGAGATGATAAATTCTAGTCCCACTTTAGGAATGAAATCTGGCTGCATGACTTTGAGCCAGTCGCTCTCTCTCTGCCCAGGCCACCTCATGGAGTAACTATTATGGGGAAAATAGGAGGAAAGCGTTTGCTGCCTTGACTAATTTATAAAGTAATAAAAGCTGGATTAAAAAAATGAATAAAATGCCTACCTTGAAGGAAGTTTCGCAGATTCACAAAATTATTGATATAAACCATACCAGAAATCACATATAGGTAGTCCTCGAGTTACGAGTGTAATGGAGCCTGCTCATTCCACTCGTAACTTGAAAACTCATAGAGTAAATCTTGTTTCTTTAGCGAGATCACTCTTTTGCTTGTTAAAACGCATGCGGCTTGTTAAGTAAACATGAGGTATCTCAGGGTGGGGAAGGCCATGGAGAATCTAGTGGTGAAACAGGCCTCCAAGGCCTCCCTGACCCACTAAGATACCTCATGCTTCCCCTTCCCTGCCGCCTGGATCTATGGCTGCAGAGTGATTCCCCCCCCTCCCCGTGGCCCAATCTTGGCTCCGGAGGCCCTTTCCAAGCCTCTGGAGACCAGATCCATGGCCACGGAGCGATTTTGCAGCCGCCCCCTCCCCCACGGCCTGATCGTGGCTCCGGAGGCCTTTTCTAAGCCTCCAGAGCCGGATCAGGCCACAGGGAGGTGCAAAATCACTCCGTGGCCATAGATCCAGGCGGCAGAGGTCTTTTCCAGGCCTCCGGAGCCCGGATCGGCCATGGGGAAGGGCGTGAAATCACTCTGCAGCCATAGATCTGGATGGCAGAGGCCTTTTCCAGGCCTCCAGAACTCCAATCCAGCTTCCTGAGACACGTTGAAGTGTCCCCCGACTTCGGTTTGTTTCTCTGTTGCAGAGAACAGAGGCCTAAAGTACCATGAGATCATGTGAGATCAGTAGTGTTGAACGAGCGTTAAGTGAACGCTCGTAACTCAGGGATTAGCTGTAATTTTCATTTCATCCACGTTTGCCATCCCTAGTACTCTTCTGAATCTTCCCTGCTATATCTAGCTTCCTTTTATCTTCTTTTTCTTAGCAAAGTACTGAGCTACAGCAATCCATTGTTTTCATTTTCCCAAAATTCCTTTTAAGAACAAAGTGTAGCCCAGAAACCTTTTTACAAAATAAGCTGATGTTGGAGGCTATCAACTGCTTTACAGTATGTCAGCTTTCCATTTATTAATTTTTTAAATTAAAAATAAAATTGAGGCAGGCACTAATATTTTGATCTGGGGTGCCTGTAGGTACTTGCAAGGTACCCCAGAAATATAAAGTGTTTGAAAATATTTTTTGTATATTATTTAACTTATTTATATAAATTATTTAACAATCCTATCTGTTAAAGTTCCTTGGACTGGTCTACAGCGCTAGCAAGTACACTAAGTTTTAAGGTTGTTTAGTAATCTTCCCCTCCCCCCCCCATTCAAATACCTGTTTTCAGTGACTCAGCAATTAAAACCCTCATAGACAAATTCATTAGGTATGTGTTTTATAGTCTTTTGGGATGTCAGATTAAAATAGGCATTCTCTAAATTAATTCTTATCATGCATATAATTTTGCTACTTTGTTGTGGTAATTTGCCATTCTTTATCTTTTCCTGTTTGGATTTCGGAGAACTTTTCAACAAAGTTTTAAATAAATATTTATGAGAATGATTAAGTAGTGGGAAGAAGAAGTTATCCTCCCAAAACAAGGCATGTGATAGTTGAGAAAGGTGAGATTATTGCCATTAAATAAATAGTAACTGTAAGAGTGGTTAATATAGATTATTTTTTTACAATCCTTTAAATAGGAGTTTAATGCAAAATATAAATATAATTTGAATGCTTTCTGAGAAACATTTATCAGTTTGACTAGGACTTTCCCTAACCGTAATGTTATGTATATTCTGAAATATGTCTCTGTTTTTGTTTCTAAAAAAACTGTGATTTTCTTTCGCAGGTTAGAAAATGCTTTCTATGAACATGCTCAGACCTATTACTACACAGAAATACGAAGAGTAAAATCTCATAAAGAATATTTGAACAAAACAACACATCAGGTATTATTAAGATTACTGATAAAGTAAACTAGCATTGATGAAGCATTAGAAGTAAGAAAAACATATAACATTATTAAAGGTAATATTCGTATAAGAGTTGCTTATATATATTTTTCTTTATTCAGATTTCAGTAGGTAAACCACCATTAAAATAAACTGTATTCACCGAGGCATTCTTGTGATATTTCAGTACTGTCATTTATTAATTCCTGTTAACAAGTAATACTACTTTTACTGTTATTTTGATTAGAAAATTAATGTTTCATTATATGGAAATGTGGAAGAAGGAATGACGTGTGTTTGCATATGTATATCTATTTGTGATCAGAAAAAGATGAAGAAACGAAAAGCAGTTTGGGAAAATTATTTATATCCTGCTGTTTTACTAAAATTGCCTAAAGATCATAAAACATAATCCTAAAATATCAGAATGCAAATTTTAGAAGCCCTATAAAAGCAAATTACAAAGTGCAATCTAGCAGCAAAAATAAAACTTACGATAGTGAACAAAATTAATTGAAACCCACTGAAAATCTGTCAGCCTTACTATTTAAGAATGAAGAGATATCGAGCCACATTTAATGTTGCCTACATTAAAAAGTTTATAATTAAAATGAACATAGTTTAAAATGTTGTCCATTGGTTATGTTGCAGCTTTTGTTTGTTAGACACCAGTTCAAAATAGCATTCTTCAGTGAGTTGAAGCAAGACACATTAAATGCTCTAAAGTAAGTATTTCTATTCAAATATTGAAGTAGTAAGTGGAGGTCTCTGTTCATCAAAGGCAGGGAATGGGTGGTAGAAGAGTGGAAAGATTTTGTATGTGGCAGGTGTTAAATCACCTGCTGCAGTTTTCCAGGGTTAAGTACATACTGCATGTTCTTCCCATCAAATAACTTCACTCAAATATAGTAATTGCCTTATGGTCTAATATCAGAAATATTGATTCATTTCAGCACGATGAGCACAACTCTTAGCCACACAATTGGGTTAATTTCTTAAATAAATCAAAAGGCAGTGGGAGTCATTCTAGAGAAAATGTACTTAAGAGTTGACACCAATTCGATGGCAATAATTAAATAGTGGGAGTACTTGAAAGATGTGAGGAAGTGCTTCTTAGAAAAATTATTGACTAAGGAAAGGGTTAGGGTTAAGGTTACCATGTTTGTCATTTAAACTTTGGGATTGTTTAACGCAGGGGTTCCCAACCGGAGGTGCGAGACGATATTCCAAGGGGTGCAAAACTTGGGTTTAGAAGTTTAAAAATTATAGTGTATATGCATAATTTGTTGCTGTTATTTCAAACTTTTATAAGGGGTGCAAGAATATATCAGAAGCGTCTAGGGGTGGGGAGGTATAGAAAAGGTTGGGAACTGCCGGTTTAACGGAATTTTATATTCCAAATGAATATTTTATGTTTAGAAACTACAAAACTGCCTTTAATCTTGTACATGAATTGAGAGCTCATGAAACAAATATGCTGGAAATCAAGACTATGGCAGGATTTATAAATTACAAGGTAAAAACTATATTATTTTTACTTGTACAACTTTTAGGTTAAAGATAGAATAATACCAATGTATACATATATTAAAATGTTGTAGTTGATGATATCTAGAAACATATATATGACAAGAATATTTTTATCCTTGAGGTTGAAATGTAGTAAGTGATGTATTGCTGACCACATGCCAGTAAATATGAAGGTATTTAAGGCTATAGAAAGATTCATATAAAAACAAAGTTGTATGGCTTTTTGGTACATGAATATACAGTTTCCTTATATTGAACTTGAGTTTCTAACCTTTATAAAGTGTTCTAATTTCTCATATTTTTAGATCTGTCGCCTGTGTTTTCAGCATAATACACCACTGGATGCAATTGAACAGTTTAGGAAACATATAGATCTATGCAAGAAAAAAATAGGAAGTGCAGAGTTGGCTTTTGAGCATGCTGCCTGGATGTCAAAACAGTATGTTTTAATTAATTAATTAGGTAGTTTAAGCTGAAAAATGTTCTTTTTTGCCTATATTAATATCAAGTGAGGGCTGTCTCACTCAGAATTAAGCTTGAAATAATGAAATAATATCTTGTTTGTCGACTTTATATCCTAATTTTTCTCTGAACTCAAAATATGCGGGGGGGGGGAGGTTTCTCCTATAATTTTATTTTCACAGTGACAGTCTGTGAGATGAGAGCCAGTGTGGTCTAGGATGAGGAAGGTGTGTTGGGTATGTTCAGCGCCTTGAGTTATTTGTAAACATAATAAAGGTGGGATGCACACACACACAAACGTGCGTGTGTGTTTGTGTGTGTGCATAATATAAACAGACTTGGCTGAGAAAGTCATCTAGTGAGCCTTGTTAATTAGCAATCATCATGATAAAAACTTATTAGTACTAATAAGTTTCCTTTTTAAAATTATCATGAATAATTGATGTGTCCTGAGTGCAACCCTGCAAAGGAGCCTAGGAAAGCAATAGAAAGAAATGTGTAAATCAATTTATTTCTTATTTTTACATTTTGTGACACATAACACATTGTTTTGGGTTCTTTTAATATAATTATGAAAGCCGGAAAATTTTGGGTGCTTCCTTAAATTTAGATTCTTAGGATCTTACATGTTCATGAATTGCCTCTTGTCACTACTTTTATTTTCAGCTCAACTTTTGGTAAAATACTTAAAGTCTGTGTTGTGATTTCTTAACAGATTTCAGGCTTTTGGAGATCTATTTGATGAAGCTATTAAGCTAGGGTTGACAGCTATTCAAACACAAAACCCAGGTTTCTATTATCAGCAGGCAGCATATTATGCACAAGAACGGAAGCAACTGGCAAATGTTCCCTGGGATCATGAGGTGAGGCACAGATTATTTTACAGCTCATTTTTGTTTATGACTATGAAGCTTATTTATTTAAATATCAAATTTAGTCTGCATATCACACCAATTATATAAGGTCCTAAAATAAGGCTGGACATACATTAAGTAAACGGAATGAATTTCATATAAAGAATACATTACAGATTTATATCAAATAACTCTCCTTCCCAAGTTGACACTAATAACTAATGTGTGTGTGTGCTAAAGAATCATCTGTCTTATCTGAGTTGTAAGCATTTTCCATGATCAGTATAAATCTTGAACCTGGAACCTGCAATTTTGAAGTTTTATAGTAAATGCAAAATAAATGTTGGATAGTCTAAATTTAATGTTTTTAATGTCCCAATCCACTAAATGAAAGATTTGAGCTACAGACCTGTGTGCAAATTTTAATAAGCCATTCTGCATTAAATGATAGAATGACTATACAGTTATATGTATTTCACTGAAAGTTTTCTAAGAAAAAGGAATTTAGTATAGCTGTTCAGATTCCTAGGCAAAACATATACTTTTTTTCTTGTCAATTATGGCTCCTATGCTCAAATATTTATTATCAATATTATTGATATTTTGTTATCTGAAGAGTATACTTGGATTTAGTTTATCGTAAGATTCAATTGATATTTTTGCTCTCCATATGACAGTGGGTCTCAACCTGTGGGTCGGGACCCCATTTGGGGTCGAACGACCATTTCACAGGGGTTGCCAAACAACGCAGTCCGCCATTTTTTTTCCCCTTTTCCTTAGCTGTGCTACTCCCTTTTATTCTATTGGCTTTTGAAAGCCAATAGAATAGACTCTCTTGAATAGAGTCTAATTCTATTGGCTTTCAAAAGCCAATAGGAATTGTCCAGGCTGTCTCTGCCCTGCTGAGCCCGCCAAAAGTCCCATTCTGCAAACGGTGCTGCACCAGTTGAGTAGTCCTCGACTTACGACCAGTTGAGTAGTCCTCGACTTACGACCGGTTGGGGGTCGCGGCATTAAAAAGGTTGAGAACCACTGCTGTATGAGATACTGTGTTGGTACAGGCTTGCTCTTCTATGATCTCATTTTAAGGGTTCTTCTTCCTTGATTTGTGATTTCATTATTGCTTTGATCATACATTAAAAAATCAAGTATAAAGAAAAAATTTGCTGAATTTACAGTCTTCTGTGATATATCCTAATCCGGATCCATTAGAAACACCAACTGGAATGCTTGACTTCTATGGACAAAGACCATGGAGGCAGGGAATACTAAGTAAATATATTTTTATTTCTTAATTAAAAAAATAACTTAATAAACATTTATCTTAGTCTGAAGAGAAATGTGTAGCTCTTATAAACTGATCAGAGATGGCAACAGAAATCTGCTTCCTTGTTTAGCTCAGGACTTGTTTATGTTCTTTTGAATGAATTAATTGGTTTTGTAGGGCAGGGCATAAAATCTAGCATGCATGATAAATATATCAGGAATACCTTAATATGTAATTCCTAAATATTTAACAACTTACTACAACAGCAGAATATGACTTAGCTCAGGGGTCCCCAACCTGTGGGCCATGGGCTACTACCGGGCCACGGCCTCTTGGCCACTGGGCTGCGGGACAGGCTGGCCAGTGCACGCATGTGTGTGCGCACACTCACACCCACTTGCACTAGCGCCGTAGCTGCATGGTGAAAATGTGGCACCATGAGGGCTAAATGGGGTGCTGCACAGTGAAAATGGGGCCACGTGGCCTAAGCGGGGCGTCGTGCAGTAAAAATGGGACGGCGCTAGTGCCCGCACAGTGAAAACGGTGCCATGCAGTGAAAACAGGGCAGCGCTAGCACCTACGAAACAAAACAAGGCAGAGCTAGCAAGTGTCATGTGGATTCTAGCGCCACTCCATTTGTGTCGCACGCATGCTTGTGGCCCCAATTGCACATGTGTGCATAAAATGCTTCCCCCTCTCTTTCTTTCTGGTCCGCCAACCGAGAAAGGTTGGGGACCTCTGACTTACCTGATTTTTTCCAGTAGACACTTTATAAAAACAGTTTCCCCGAAGCCATTGATGACTGCTTCTGGTCCCTCTCTGATTGAGATGCCTGAAAATTGCTATCATGGTTTTGCAACATCTGGGAAATGTGTAGGCCCTAAACTAGGCATAACAGCTAAAATATATTTTTTGCCAAAATCCAAGAAATATTGCAAAATTTTGGCTCCATTCATATATTGCCCTACCCACCTTGCATTATTAATACTCCTTACACTGCTGTTAGTGAATAAAATTAATCTGCATATTGAAATGAATCAGAGAGTCCATGGAAACACTATTTGTATACTTCATTGCATATGCAGATATTTGGAGAGATTACTGTTTCAACATCTGGTCTTAAATGTTACTCATAAGAGAATGTAAAGATGAAAAAAAAATGAGATAAATGCCATATGGCAAATATGTGACACAAGATTCCTATTTGCAATCTGCAAAATAGCATCAGTCAAATGAACATTGCTCATTAGAAATGGCTCAGTAAATTATCTGTTGCTAAGAAACAAGAGGTTTTGGGGTGAGGTTTTTTAATATTGTTTTCTTGCCGGAGCTCTTTGAATATACTGCAGATCAGGGATTCTTTCAGACCAGTCTTATCAAAAGAACTAAGAATATAATAGAATTCCATACATTCTTTCTCCTAAGTTACGGAAATGTTTGGAATCTATGTATTCCTAGCTTGGAACTAAGCACCAATCTTACAGTTGTAATAATAAAGTACTCTTCTTGGAGCAAAACTCATTAAAATGGATTTTTCATTGTCTTACGCAGGTTTTGATCTTAATGATCCTGAAAAGGAGAAAGTGGGAATCTTGGCACTGCAACTGAAAGAGAAGAAAGTTCTCCATTCTGTAAGTTAGATTTCCATTTATAGTTTCTAGTTTTTGTATGTCCAAATATAACTGCCATAATTTTTTATTTATTAGGAGCTAATAATCACCTTGTTGAGTAACGCAGTTACGCAGTTCAAGAGATACAAGTGTCCGAGAATGAAAAGTCACTTGAGTAAGTTTCATTTTCAAACACATGTTTAAAAGATGTTTAAATGAGTTAAAGTACTGGGAATAATCTCATTTTCTTTTCAGTGGTTCAGATGGGTGAAGAATATTATTATGCTAAAGATTACACCAAAGCTTTGAAGTAAGTGTGACTTTATATGGCATAGTTTTGAATATCTTAATATATCTAGAAACTATGAGAATTAGACTTTTCTGTCTCATCAATGTGGTGAAAATATATGATCCAAATTATTTTTAAAAAATACAAGCTTGTGGTATATATAATGTAGCCTTGATCCTCAATATTTGTTTTTTTCTAAAGTAGGAACAGTTATATGATAACTGTTTTTCAGCTTTCCCTTTTCACGATTCATGGCTATACCTACCCTAATCCTAACAGCACCAGATTGTTGGCCAACTCATAAAAGTATTTGCTAAATGTATATGTTAAGCAAACCCTGATCACCATCAGGTCATCAGAAAGATATTTTTTTATATACAAATATGTACACTGCCACAGATTGCAGGAGAACATTTGAACTTTGCATTGTTTTGTTGAAAATTATTTGGAATAGAAAGATTCCAAATAATTTACAACAAAATAATATAAACCTCAAAAATTCTCTCACTTCCCACAGTCCATAAAATCAAATATAATAAAAACAATTAGCTTAGAGAAAATACCATTTAAAAAAAAAACTTTGAAGGTAGCCTGATAATAACCCCTAGCATTCATAGGCTTGCCAGTACAAGAGCCTTTTCTATTGAAAATAAGTTCAGGCCACAAAAATGTTCATAATGGTGAGTCCACCATTGTGAAGGATTATTTTTTAATATCACATGAAAGAATGAAGAATGAACTCACAGATTGGGCCAATTCTAGTTGAAAGAGATTGACACAGACCTGAACCACATCAGGCTGAGGTCCCCAACTTTTGGGCACCAGGGACTGGTTACGTGAAGAGAGGTTTTTCCATTGACAGGAGGGGACATGGTTTTGTGTGCTGCCTACATCCTGCAGATGGGGCTTTGCTTGTTTGTGTGGACCCGTTGCTGGCATGCCGCGGCCCAGTACTGGTCCACGGACCAGGAGTTGGGGACCCCTGACGTAGGGCTTTTTAATTTAAAGCCATCACTTTGAAATTGATCCTGAAATTCCTTGGTAACTGATGCAGGGATTGAAGCAAAATGTTGAATTAACTGCAATTCTGAAGCAACTTTAAAGTTGCAGTAGTCTAATAGTGAAGTGACATCATGGATTGAGAGCCAATAACTGGCCAAGGTCCCCAGCTTTTGTGCCTAAAGCGGAACTAGAACTCATAGTTTTCTGCCTAAAGTGGAACTAGAACTCATAAGCCTGGTGCCTTAACTACTAATTCAGACTAGCTCTCCACTTTACAGAAAGTATTACATATATTAAGTTAATTAAATATTCTGTCTTCTAGGCTCCTTGACTATGTTTTGTGTGATTACCGTAGTGAAGGCTGGTGGACTCTCCTGACTTCTATACTGTCCACTGCTCTTAAATGTTCCTATCTAATGGCCCAAATAAAAGATTATATTACATACTCATTAGAGCTTCTGGGCAGAGGTAAGCAAGGCATTTTAATCTGTTTCAATCTGAGAGTTTTTAACAGCAAGTATGGGCAAGTTGACAGGCATTTGGAATTGTGTGTGAACAATTATGCGAGAAGATATTATTTTATGGTAAAAGGATGGATGAGCCCAGAAAAATGTGAATAAGAATCAATAAGGCATGCTTTCTCTTTATGTTTTTATTCCTTGAGCTCCCGGTAAATTTATTGTGAATTTTTGTTTGTTCAGGCATAAAGGTGTCCTCTGTAATAAAAATCAAGCCGTTTTGTGCTTTACGTTTTCCCACAAGGGACACCATTTATTCTTTGAATGCTGTCCAAGAGATTTGAAAGAAAATATGCTAAACTTAAAATGCTTAAAAATGTTCAGATATAGAGCAGGTGTCCAGTTTACTTTTGATGGAATGCTGATGTGGATATAAATATAGCAGGCTTAAAGATCTCTTATAAGAGTTGGGGTTTGATGTTACACTATATCATAGTTTAATATTCAGAAAATAAACATAACAAAGTGCCAAGATCCACGTCTCCCTCTCTTGCATGATTGGGAGAATTTGGAAGGTTTTATTCTCGAAAGTACTGAAGGCAGGACAAGAAGCAACGGATAGAAACTAATCAAGGAAAGAAGCAACCTAGAACTAAGGAGAAATTTCCTGACAGTAAGAACAATTAATTAGTGGAACGACTTGCCTTCAAAAGTTATGGGTGCCCCAACACTGGAGGTTTTTAAGAAGAGATTGGACAACCATTTGTCTGAAATGGTATAGGGTTTCCTGCCTGAGCAGGGGGTTGGACTAGATGACCTCCAAGGTCCCTTCCAACTCTGTTATTTTATTAATCTTCTTAGATTAATTATCATTATTCATAAAAACTGATCTTCTTAATTAGGGCTAGTGGAAATGAGGTGATTGAAAAGTAATATTATAGAATTTTGTTTTATGTCAACCATACTAAAATTTAAATAGAATTTATGATTTGGATGAGATTCAGCTAATAAAGTGGAAGCTTTTGATTTTATTTTCATGCCTGTATTCAAGGAAGAGAGCAGCAAACTTGTGAGCTCAAATTACATTATAACATTTTCATCTAATGATTAATTATGGCTTCTGACTTCACCCAAATATGGTTACTGCTTGTATTTTTACCTACTATATGATGTTGTGATTTCTTCACCTAATTGTTGCTCAGTTTTTTAGAATATATAGATAACATATTGGATATAATTCCTCTTCCAAACATTTAGAAGACTTATGCTATTTATTCATTTTAATGTGTGTTTTATTGAAGCATCTACTTTGAAAGAAGATCAGAAATCTCGAATAGAAAAGAATCTGATCAAAGTTCTTATGGTCAGTAGAAAGAAACAAATTTCTGTGAAATAATCTGCAGAGTTTAGTAACTCTGTGCATAGATTTGGTCAGTTTAAATAATCTTGTTTTGAATTTAGAATGAGAATCCAGATCCTGAATCTGACTGTGATTGTACTTCTGTAAAAACTGCACAGAAATTGTGGGCTGATAGAGTATCCCTGGGAGGCAACAACATCTTTACAATAGAAGTACAAGATTTTGTTCCTTTTGGTATGTATTAAAACTTTTTACAACAAAAAATACCACCTATGTTAACCAATGGTATAAGGATGGAAGGAAAAACAGAAATACATAAATACTTCTATATTTCCTTTGCTTATGAAATGAAGTCCATATTAGATACAAAATGAGAACTCGAAGAGTAGTATAATTTTTAAAAAATACCTGAAATGCACTAATATATTGTTGAGGAATGCTGTAAACATTTTTTAAAAGTCAAATATTTCTTATTGTTGATTTACTGTATTTTTATATACGACAAAAACAATTCCAAGTAGTTTATATTTTAAAAACATGAAATGTGATGCAGAACTTATTATCCAAATAAAATATAATTTCTGCTACAATACACTAGGTGTACTGGTAGCCAGTCACCTGCCAAAGGCCCTCTCAGGCACCTCTAATAGTTTTTTAAACTGCATCCTAGGCTGCCCTGTAAAGATTTCTCTTCCAAAGCATATGTATTTATTATCAATTCTTTTGATAGAGGTCATTGATTTAGAAACAAAACAATACCCAAATTTTCATATTTGCTTTTAATTTCCTGCTAAATTACAGTGTGGGCAATCTTACCATTGTATGTAAAATTCTTGCACATTAGTGATCCTTTTATGCAGCAATATGTTCAAATTAAAATCTTCTGTACCTTTGAAATAGACTATTCTTTAATCTGTATTCTGGACAGCAAGACTAGTTGTGCATGTGCACATCTGCATACACAAATATAGATAAGGGAATGGAAATAGATAGTTGCAGTAACAGTGCTTAGTATGAGAAAAAATGGCTTATATCTAGAAAGTACTTTCAGCAGAGGACCTGCTACGTTCAAAAGCACCTCTTTCTGCTTATGTCTGAACTTTAAAGTTCTGTCAAGCTTCATCCAATATAGGTAGTCTTCGACTTACAACAAAACAGACTTGTGACCAGTTTTCACACTTAAATCCTTTGCAGTAGCCCCCCTGATCATGTGATCAAAATTCGGGCAATTGGCAACTGGCATGTATTTATGACAATTACACTGTCCCAGGATCATGTGATCATCATTTGCAACCTTTCCAGGTGACTTCCAACAAGCAAACTTGATGGGGGAAGCCAGATTTGCTTAATGACCACATGATTCACTTAACTGCAGTGATTCACTGTGGCAGAAAAGGGGGTGCAAATCATATAACAACTGCCTTGCTGAGCAAAAGAAATTTGGGGCTCAATTGTGGTTGTAAGTTGAGAATTACCTGTACAAGATAGAAAATTAGCCCAAATTGTTAAATATAAAATATTCCATTGTTTTTGGTAACATGCTATGTCCTCTGATTTTGTTTTGTTTCAAAATGTAGTGCAGTGTAAAGCTAAATTTCTTGCTCCAAGTTTTCATGTTGATGTACCAATTCAGTTTGATGTATATTTGAAAGCTGACTGCCTGCATCCTCTCCAGTTTTCTAAGTTGTGTGTCAATTTCAGTAATCAGGTAATTTTTTAAAAAATACTGCTTTTATGATTCATATGTCCTTAATGGGATGGGAGCAGTTATCATATTACACTGGCTATTTTAGTATTATAAAATAAACTCATTCAAATCATGATATATTAGTCCATAAAGTCTAATAGGAATGATCCTTTGCGTTATACAATAGGAGCAACTCAGAGGCTTTATACAGTTTATTATACGCTGCCCAGAGTCACTTGTTTTGTTAGATGTACATTTCTATAAATTTAATAAGTAAATAGTTTGCTATATTGTCCAAGCCCAATATCCATATCTAAAATTTGGTTTAGACATCTGTAAAAAGTGAAGAGCAAGTTCTGGCTCCTTTCTTTCCAATCACCAGGTTTTAAGCCAATAGTAATTTTGAGAAGATAGGTGTCCCATCACTATGTATGTTTCCAGTTTACATAATCCAGTCAGTTTCAATTGAGACAAATCTCCAATAATTTATTTTTCTGTTTAACAGATTGGAACTATTTTGACAATAAAAATTTTTAAAGAAAAAAATTAAAATCAAAAATTTCCTCAGCATTCTTCAAAATTCTCAGATCAAGCAGAGCAGACTTTCTTGTATAGGGTTTCCTGCCTGAGCAGGGGGTTGGACTAGAGGACCTCCAAGGTCCCTTCCAACTTTATCATTATTTATTTATTTATTTATCTATTTATTTATTTATTTATTTGACTTCTAAGGCCACCCAACACAACAAGTGTGATTTTGGGTGGCATTCAGCATAAAAACATAAATAAAAGAAAAACTTTGCATAACAATAAATAGAATATATAAATACCACATATAAAATAGCAGTCAAGCACATAACCAAACAATCAGAAGGGGACTCCCACTCAACTGTTCCCTAAAATCTTTCGGAACAGCCAGGTCTTAATGGTGTTCTTAAAGGCGAGGAGAATTGGATCCTGGCTTATATTGGGAGAGGGTCATTTCAAGGAACAGGGCAGCCACAGAAAAGGTATGATTAAGTAGGAAGAATATTTTGAACGTGATTAATCAGTCTGGAATTCCTTATGGCAATAAATTCCTTTCAAAACAATTTGAGCAAAGTCCTTCACTTTATGTAAATTGTAATACTCCTCAAAGTTTTTCTTCCTTCCTTCCTTTATTCTTTCATCATTTTCTTATTTGATGACTGACAAATGTTATTGAAATAAAACACAAGGCTTTCTGGCTTGTTCTCAAACTTTCTATATATTTTGCTTGTTCTTACTAAAGAAGGAAGACCAAAGAGTCCACATATTCATCTGAAAGTCTAGCAGATAGCTAGGATTATTATTTCTCGTTGTGATTAATCTGCTTTTTAATCAGTGTTTTCTTCTCACTATTTTTAACAGTCTTGTAGTTTTCTATTTTTATACTCCACATATTTAGAATTTTTTACTTTATTATATATATAATAATAACTGGTAAAGTGGACAAAGTGCACCTTTTATTCAGTCTGTCCTACACAATCTTAATTTCAAATATATGATGCCAAAACTCCGTATGTTGCCATCTAGCACAGTCATAATGAGAATAGTTTGTCTCAAATATATTTGAAGCTAAGTAGATTGGACAAAAGTAAAATGCTTAATCTATTTGAAATGTAGTATTGTGTTGCATATATACATGTCTATGTATATACATGTACAAAGCACCAGAGGGCAGGACAAGAAACAGTGGTTGGAAACTGATCAAAGGGAAAAGCAACCTGGAATTAAGGAGAAAGTTCCGAACAGTGAGGACAGTTAACCAGTGGAACAGGTTGCCTTCAGAAAACGTGGGCGCTCCTGTCACTGGAGGTTTTTAACAAGAGGCTAGACCAGTGGTTCTCAACCTTTTTATAGCCGCGACCCCAGTCGTAAGTCGAGGTGGTGCCACCCCCCTGCACCAGCTGAGGCATAGCCGGCAAGGGGCGGTGGCAGGCAGGCGTGGTGGTGCCACCCCCTGCGCCAGCTGAGGCATAGCCGGCAAGGAGCGGTGGCAGGCAGGCCCGGACGCTCCCGGGCGGCCGCGGCAGGCAGGGCGATCACCGGCTGGGCCACCAGCTGGCCCAGCCCAAGGCAGGTAAGGCATCCGCCAGGCCCCACGCGTGCCACCAACCTTCCGCTGCCCCGCTAGGCTTACTTTGGCCGCCGCCCATTCGGGGCGGCGGCAGGCAGGCCCAGGCACTCCCGGGCAGCCATGGCAGCGGCAGCACAGGGCGACCACCAGCTGCGCCAGCCCAAGGCAGGTAAGGCACCTGCCGGGCCCCACGCGTGCCAGCAACCCTCCCTGCGCCCACCGGCCTCCCACCCCCGGCCTTCTTTTACTTACTTTTTAGTTGCTCTGCAGGAGGGAAGCTCTGCAGACTGTTCCCCTTGCAGCACCGTTGCAGACTGGGGCTTTTGGCGGGCTCAGCAGGGCAGAGACAGCCCTGGACAATTCCTGTTGGCTTTTGAAAGCCAATAGAATTAGACTCTGTTCAAGAGAGTCTATTCTATTGGCTTTCGAAAGCCAATAGAATAAGAGGGAGTAGCAGAGCTAAGGAAAAGGGGAAAAAATGGCAAAAAAATGGCGGGTCGCGTTGTTTGGCGACCCCCATGAAATGGTTGTTCGACCCCAAATGGGGTCGCGACCCACAGGTTGAGAACCACTGGGCTAGACAATCACTTATCTGAAATGGTATAGGTTCTCCTGCTTGAGAAGGAGGCTGGACTAGAAGACCTCCAAGGTCCCTTCCAGCTCCTATTCTATTCTGTTCTATTCTATTTGTATGTCACCTGCAGCACTTCCTTATTTATAAATCTCATTGCGAGTTCTTTGGGAGAAGTTCTTCCTAAATAATCATGCATGTAATTTCCAATCTAAATTGAACAGCTCTAAACATATTGTAAATACTTACGTTTAATTGCTTCAAAAGGCATGCTCTTAAATTTCTTTAAAAACATTCATGGTATGTAAATAAATAAATGTATGAATGACTATGATCTGTATATTTCTTAGTACTAAATAGCATAGCAGATTATCATAGTAATTCAGATAAATCTTACTTATTTTTTGCATTGTCTACTTCTGCCTATTTTTCTCTTACCATAGGAATACAATCAGTATTGCATGGTGGAAGAAAACTATCCAAAATGTGACATCCTAGAACCATCTACACAGGGAACATTATGTCTTATCCCTGGTAAGACAAAAAAGTTCACTTTCAAATTTGTGGCAAAAACAGAAGACGTGGGAAAAAAAATTGAGGTATGTTCTTCAGAGTGTTATAAAATATTAATGATATTGTTGATTGTAGTTCAGGAATGTGTGAACACTAATCAGCTAATATAGTTCACTGCCTTTTGCAAAAAAGATAAGAACTGGAGCCAGGACCAGCACACTAGTATATAGCTCAGGACAACTTTATGGTGTTGCAATAGAAAAAGGGATTGTGGAGTTTAATCTTTGGAAAAGTTATAATGATGAAATTAATATCATCATATATTAGAATGCTATCACCTCTAGATATTTCTAAGTCTGATTGATTCATTTGTATGTTATTAAAGTTTTTCATGTTTCTTTTTTTAGCTTATTTACTTGTTTTAAACTAATTAATAAAATATTTTTAAAATCTAAATTAAAACAGGAAGAATGTAACTGAAATGAATTGGCTTTTGAATATATATGTAATAGTGGCATGTTTTAAGAATGCACAAATTATAGTAAGAAGAGCATAAAATAGACAAATGCTTCTTTGTAAAAGGACAACCGGAGCTCAGAGATTTCAGAGAATTGATATAATTTTGTAGAAACAAATAAGTAGTGGCTAGGACTCATTTATAAATGCTTACAGTTCATACTAAAAACAGTAATTTACTCTGTATTATAAGACTTTAAATGAAGCGAAGGATGAGAAATCCAAAAATAATCTTTTTTCTTTTCAGATTACCTCAGTGGACTTAATTCTGGGTAGTGAAAATGGCAGGTGTGTGGTCTTGAACTGGCATGGAGGAGGGGGTGATGCTGCTGCTTCTCGAGAAGCAGTTCTGGCAGCTCGTTCCTTCAAAAGACGACCCAAACTTCCAGATAATGAGGTTCACTGGGATAGCCTTACAATTCAGGCAAGCACTATGTAAGTATGAATGGATTCCATGGAGAGAAATCATTTTATGAATGTTTGAGGTTTGAGAATAGAATAAAACAAGTAGTTGCTTTCACTGTTCCATCTTTCAAGAAAAAGTTCATCAGAAATTGCTAGGCAGTATTGGAGACTGAAAATATTCCACTGTCTAAGACAGGGAGTGCGAGACGATATTCCAGGGGGTGGGAAAACTTGGGTTTTCAAAATTATAGTGTATATGCATAATTCATTGCCGTTATTTCAAACTTTTGTAAGGGGTGCGAGAATGTATCAGAAGCATTCTAGGGGTGCGGGGTATAGAAAAGGTTGGGGACTGCTAGTCTATAAGGATTATGACTTTGTAAGTTAGGATTCCCAGGTTCTGTGACAACAGTTTGCAAATATGTCCTGTAGGGCTTTCACATTCTTAATAATGTTGTTCAAGATAATTTATCATCTGTATTGCAAGAAGCTCTGGGAATGCTTCTTTATGATGAAAGGCATTGAGAAAAGTTTTCAGTACAGCTTGTCCTCAACTTACCACAATTGGGACCAGAATGTCTGTTGCTAAATGATGTGGTCCTTAAGTGAGTCATGACATGACCAGATCTGATTTTGCAACCATTTTTACTTTAATAGTTAAGAGATGATTTTGCCTAAATTAAAGCATTTTGTGGCCCTTAAAATACCATATTTTCCGATGTATAAGACGACTTTCTAAACCATGCAAATCTTCTCCGAAGTTGGGGGTCGTCTTATACGCCGAGTCTTATACGCCGGAAAATACGGTAGCTACAGGAGTACCATCTACACTTATTTGTACATTGTAAAGAACATATGAGAAGAGAGTAAAAACAAGAAGAGATTGAAAAGTATACGCAATACAGGTAGTTTAATCTTACTTGCCATGCTTAGAGAATTGCTATTACTACACATGCAGAGGCTTGTAGAGCAACAACTCAACTAAGGAAGAAGATAAAGCTACAGCAAGCAGATGACTTGTTTCTTGTTTTTATTCAAGGATCATTTCTAGAGTGCCTAACATTTCTGTCCAGCTTAGTCATGAACCCCCTGCCCTAATGAATGAAATGTATTGTTTGAGTGTGACAATTGAGTCGCATGAGAAGACCGTTGCCAAAGATGTAAAGCTCACAGCTGGCTTAAAACCAGGTATTTATTATGCAACATGATACTACTGGCTCAGTCACAATCCTCAAGGAACTTCTCATTGTGGAGAGGTTTAAACCACTCCCTTTATCTTTTATTAATTGGGCAAGTGAATAATTCAACAATTAGATAGTAGAAGATAAATGAAAATGCCATTTAATAGTTAGCTAGATTTCATGAAGTGCTGTTGTTTATATTATTTAGATATGGTAACTTAAATGTTTGGCTTTGAAATGTAACATTCATTTATATAAGCTGGTATACTTTTACTTTAGCAGAATCTTCCTCAACATAGTGCTTATTTATGTTTTGTGCTACTATCAGTACCCCCAATTGGCATAATCTGCCACTTCTTAGGCTATTAGTTGGGGGAGCAGGCTTTAGAACATTGCAACATTTAAGTGTAGATTACATTATATCTTGACTTGCCTATTTCACTGGCAAAGCAAAGTCAGGAATTTTCAGAATGGAATGTTGTCACTAAGTGATGGTCATAAACAACTAAAGTTCATAACTGAAATAATTTTCTTCATTGATAATTTTGATATTTCTAGAATTGCCTTGAAATGGCCATCCTGGGTTGAAAATTAGAGAACTTGCTTTAAACATAATGTCAATTGTCTGAAATCTTGCAAAATATGTTGTTTAAAATAAGTTAAAGCTAAAACACATAAATATGCGTATGAAATTCTTAAAGCTCACATGCATTTCATTTGTTTACTGGCCATAATTCATATTAAAATTTATTACATTCATACTAAACAAAATCTTCATTATCTTGATAAATGCATCGGTCTTTGTCTAAATAAATATTTACAAGAAAGACACACAAATACATATAAAGATATACATATATTCTTCTCATATATTTATACACATTCTTTTCTCATAGGCCAAGATGCAAATTTGACTCAAAAAACACATGTAACTCTGAATGGAACAGAAATGTGTGATGATTCCTACCCTGCCTTGCTTCCTGATATCCCTCTGGGAGACCTGCAGCCAGGTGAAAAGGTAGCGTGCTATGTTATCAGCATGACATATGTAAAACTGAGTATTTTGGAGACAGTAACCCCAGTACAAAATCTGTTTAGTCTTTTTTTTTTTTTTTTTTTATTGAAAATTTTTAAATTTTACAAAAACAAATCCCCTTCCCATACCCCCCCCAACCCTACCTCACCCCCCTCCTACCCAACCTCCCAAACCCTCCCCTGGACTTCCCAGAGCTGAGTACAGGCTTAATTGAGAAAAAAACTTAAAACACTTTTAAAACCTAAACAAATTTAAATACAATCATCATTCTATATAAACTCCCTCCAAAAACGCAAATTTAAACATTACTTTCTTTGAATATCTATACCTATAATGTAAAATCTAATTTCTCCCTCTTTCTTTATCCTAATACAAAAAAATAAATATATAAACCTTTGTTATACCATCAAAACTAAATACTCTTAGAAAACTTAAAGTAAATACATATTTCCTTCAATCTTCATAATCTTCTCACCTATCCAAAAAAAAACTTAAAAATCCTAAACAAATCTAGACACATTTAGTTAAACAAATTATTTTCTCTTAAAGATATTAATAATATTTAAAAACTTGAAACACTTTTGAATCCTAAACAAATCTAAATACAATCATCATTCTATATAAACTTCCTCCAAAAACACAGATTTAAGCATTACTTTCTTTCCTAAACAAATCTAGACATTTAATTAAACAAATTATTTTCTCTTAGAAATATTAATAATAATATTTAAAAACCAAATTTAAGCTTTACTTGGAACTTAAACAAATTATACTCCCTTCAAAACACAAATTTATTAGAATCCCCTCACTGAAATAAACAAATTATAATCCCTTCAAAACACAGGTTTAAACAATATTATCATTAAAGGTTTAAAACTTAAAGCTGAAATATATTATTATCCCAAAACACATATTTAGACATTACATAAGACATTTTCCAAAAACGATGTAAGTTTTACTTCTCCCACAATCTCAATAGTAAACTTCTTGTCTAAAGTTCTCATTCAATGTCCATAATTTTCTGTCCGATAACCAGTTGCACCCACTATAAACACAAACTTCTTATCTAAAATTTTCATTCAATATCCATAATCTTCTGTCTAATAGCCAGTTACATCTACTATAAGCACAATCCATATCGGTTTCTCTTGCCCGCAAGCATCGAAAAAAATGCGTGGAATTCTGCCCTTGAAGATCGCTCCAAAGAGTTTGTAAGTCCTGGTTGACCCACAAGCTCAGGAATCAGTACCTGTGAAACTTCCTCAACCTCCTTCTTCTGTTGGTCTTTCTCTTTACATTTATATGTTACTTTTTCTTTACATTTATATGTTGGACAAGTCTCAGGGACCGATACCTGTAAAACTTCCTCAGTGAATTCCTCCTTGTGTTGATCTTCACAATTATAAGTTGTACAAGTTATCCTCTGCCCGTTCCTCTCTTGTTGGTGCCCCTCAAGCTGAAATTTCCCAATTTCCATTTCAGGCAGCAATTCCACCCTTGAAGATTGCTCCAGAGACTTTGTAGGTCTAACTTCTCCCAGAGATTCAGAGACCTTCTTCTGTTGCTGCTTTTCTTTGCAATTGTATGCTGCACAAGTTGTCTTCTGTTCCTCAACCTGGACTTGTTGGGGCCTCTCAAACAAGGGTTCCCCAATTTTCATAAATATAGGCTCTTCAAGCTGTAATTCTACATTCTTTTCTTCCAAAGCTTTAAACTTAATAGATGGCGATACACATACCCCCAGGACCGAGGTATAAAAATCTTTTGCTTGAGAAACAGTATTAAGTCTATAACATGTCCCCAGGTGGTTCACCACCATTCCAGTCGGGACATCCCATCTGAATAGTATTTTTCTCTTTTTAAGTTCATTTGCTAGAAAAGCAAACTCCTTTCTTCTTCTTAAAATTTTAGATGGGATCTCCTTAAAAATTATAACATCTTGTGAAGCAATTTGAAATCTCTTCTTATAATAGGCTTGCACAATTTCATTGCGTAGAGATTTTTTACCAAAGTAAATTACCACATCTCTTGGCAGATTCTTCTGTGCTGCCACCACAGAATTAACCCTGAATAATTTTTCAATTTCACTAAGTATTCCCTCTTTTTCTTTATTCAAAATCAATGCAAAGTCCTTTGCAACCATCTCTTTCAAATTTCCTTGCAAAGACTCTTCCAGGCCCCTGATTCTTAAGGCATATTCCATTTGTCCATATTGAAGCATAAGAATTTCATTTTCCATCTCTTTTTCCATACTTTCAATTTTCCCCTCCATTATCTCCACTTTTTCATCTACCTCTTCCACATGGGAGTTCATCTTTTCAAGAACAGAAGCAACTCCTTTTAAAGCCAAAACAAAGTCTTGTCTCAAGATCTTATTGTTTTCCTCTAAAATCTTTTTCATTTCTGCCCTAATTTGAATTATGACATCTCCCATCGTGTCTTGCAAATCCTTCATAGTTGTTAGCTGACCCCCAGAAGAGGGTGAGACTGTTAATTTAGAAGCTGTAGAAATCCCTGGACGCTTTGGAGCCATCTTAAAAAAAAAACCCTTTAGTCCTTCTTAAAAAATTATAAAAATTCCTTCAAAAATCATAACTCCCTCCAAAGAAGGTCATTATAATAAAAAGAAAAAAGGGGGGAAAAAAAAGAAGAGAAAAGGAATTAAAAAAGCTTTACTCCTCCTTAAAAATTGCAAAAATTAAGCAAAAAAAAGGAGTTAACTCCATAAATTCAAAAAGAAAGAGGGGGGGAAATCCTTCAAAAAGGGGTCATTGCAATAAAAGGAAAGGAGTTCAGAAAAAAAGAAAAGAGAGAAAGAAAAAAAAAAGGGGGAGAAGAAAAAAATAATTAAATAGAAAAGGTCCGTTCCATTTTTTTTTAAAAAAAAAATACTTAGAGATACCAAAAACAAACACAAAGATTAAACAAAAATAATAATTCTAACAGTCCATTCCAATCATAAAAAAATAAAAAAGGAAAAGGGAAAGGAAAAAAAAAAAAAGCACCAAAAAGCCTGCCGGTCAGCATTCTAACTTCCAAAAAAAAAAAAAAAAACACCGAGAGATTTGCCGATCGCCATTTTACTTTCCCTTTCAGCAAAGAAGGAGAAATAAAAAGAGAGAGTAAAAATAGAAACAAGTCTTAAAAACTTAAAATCCAAATAAGTCAAAGAAAGCAAAAACTAAATCCTCTACTCAGCTCTGTCCGTTTAAAAAAAAAAACTCACCAGTTCTCTTTAAGCACGGAGGTGTTTGCAGCGGCTCGTTTTGTCCCTGAGGACAAAAACAGCTGGGAAGCGGAGACAAGTCTGAACTCCGTGGGAGCACTCCTTTCACCCCCCAAAAAAAGGACTTGGGGGGTGCAAAAGAGGCTCTACCACTATTCAGACACTCTCTGCCCCCCCCCCTTTGCCCGGGAGGGGGATTTTGAACCGCTGAACAGCTGATGTCTGCTGTTCATAGCAGTTCTTACACTTACCCAGGAGGACGGCTACAAAGTAGCCGCCATCGCGCGCGCAAAATCCACCGGAAGTCCAAAATCTGTTTAGTCTTATAATTCTTCTAAGATGAACAGGATTAATTCTGTATATTGTTCTTAGGATGAAGACCTGGTAAATAAGCAAGCTATTAAAATAGAAATTGATTTCAGAATGTTAGCTTCAAGGATTTCTTCAAATAGCAAACCATAATCTGCCACTTTCCCATAGTAATATTAGAAGCAAATTAGAAAAAAAGGTTGGATTAGCTTGCACCCAGCACCCAGGGATTTTTTAAAAATCTGTGTGCGTTTTTAAATAAAGCAGTATTTTAAAGTATGACTGCTGAAGAACTATATTAACTGCTTTTTATTTTATAACTAGTCTGTTCGTTTGCTTGTTTTACAGTTGGAAAAAATGATATATATTCATTGTGGAACAGTTGGTACTAGGATGTTTCTGGTGTATGTTTCTTACCTGGTGAATGCAGTCATTGAAAGAAAAGAAATTCTTTGCAGGTGTCACAGGGTATGTTGGAAAATCTAAGTTAAGTGTTGTTCAAGACCACTAGCTTGTACTTTATTGGATATCACATAAACATTGCTGAAAATTAAGGTTTCAATAATATTGAATTGGTATCGGAATATTCATTTCCCATTCGTGTGTGTGTTTGTGCGTGTACACATACATACACTTTTATATTAAATTTCACTGTGAAGCCAAGTGTTAGGAAGAGGGGGCTTTTATAAATGCTTCTAATTAAATAAATAAGGTATGATTGAAAACATATTTACAATATAATATTTACATGTTTTGGGGCTCAGCATAAGTAGACCAATTAAACATTTTGAAACCTGCTAATTGTGCTTTTCTTTGGGGGAGGGGCATGCTGGACATTACTGCTATTTCTGCAGTCTTTTTATGGGGAGAGTAATAGTATTAAAGAAATTTTAAAAACATTTGCTATCAGGTGACAATCTGTCAGAATCAGAAAACGAAAATAATTCTCTCTTTTTTTAATGCAGGATGAGACAGTTACTATAGAGACAGTATTCCCTTTTGATGTAGCTGTTAAATTTGTCTCAACTAAGGTATGTAGAGAAATATTGAAATAAAACATAGCCTCATAAACAACATGAACAGTAGAATAACACTGTTTCTCCTCTTGGCAGTTTGAGCATTTAGATAAAGTCTTCACCGACGTACCATTTTTACTGATGACAGATATCCTCAGTGCTTCACCCTGGGCCCTTACTATTGTAACCAGCCAGTTGCAGCTTGCTTCTTCAGTGGTTCCAGTGGACCAATTAGAGTCCTGTGTGGAAAATGGTGCGACAAACTCTTTATTTTTAGATAATCTGCTTCTGGGATGGCAAAAATTACTGATTGTTGAAAAAGTACATTAATTTCATCATTTAAGTTACATAAATCTTGTACGAGGTACATTTTAAACTGAGATTAAACTTATAGTCACTGTTAGGTTTTTTGCTGGGATTCTAATAATCTTTCTCTACAACCTGGTCTAAAGTACATTAAAGATAAAAATTCTGGCCCAGAATTTAAGTACAAAAAGTTGAAACTTCCAAATCATTGTTACTCTCACGTTGTGCAAGCCAAGGTTGCGGAACATTTAACCTTCCAGATATTGCTAGAGTTCAGCAGTCTTTGAAGGTCCACAAGATTTTCTATGTGTACACAAAGTTTTTCTTTGGTAGCATAATTTAGGTGAATTGCTTCTTTGATTTAACATTAACCCTTCTTGATCCCTTAAAAATATCCAGAAACATGCTTAGTTTAAATAATTAACTAATCTTGCTATGGGTGGTTCTTTTGATTACAAGTGTTTTTGACAGTAGGCTGGATGATAGTTTGTTACAAAAGTTTCAAAATTTATCCAATGGTCCTCTTTTCCCCACTCTCTTTTAGCCTTGTGGCTTGTTTGAATTGGCTAGCCCTGTTATCACTGCCCAACTTAGCAAGTAACGAAATCCTTGATTTCAGCTTATGCATCCCCTTTCTGGCCCTTTTTCTCATAGATTAAAGCAGGGCTTAGTGCCTATTTCCCTCTTCAAGTTATTTGCCCAGTCTGATACAACCTTAGTTTGGATGCCATGGGGTCTTTTGCTCCATGGATGAACTCTAAGCTGAACTGGCGCTAGGTGTCAAAGCAAAGCTCTAGGCAGGATTTTAAGGAGAGTTGCGGCTGGATGTCAGTCTTGTGTAATGCCTGTTGGTACTAAATTGCTCAGACGTCACTTTCTGCTTTTCTTTCTTCCTTTTCCCAGTCACCCTCGCACACTTTTGCTTATTTTTCCTTTTGATGCTGAGGGCTCGGGTGCGGTGAAGTGAGCTAACTTAGCCAGTTATGGATATAGTCCTGTCCTTGACCAGGCCAAGTTGTGTCCAAATTAGATTAGGTTTCCTGGCAGAACCCCTTGTCCAGATTTCCACTCTATCCCTTTTTGGTGGGGAGATATAAGCTGAACTAGTTGGCTTTATTTTTCAGTACATTTTTGGGAAGTGAGGAGCTGTTTCTGCCCGATAGCAGCCATGCCAATCAAGCAGTTTTAACACTGCCTTTTTAAAGAGCAGAGTGGTACATTTGGTCACGTTCTCTTCTACCACATACTTGCTTGGAAGTTCTTCTCTTTCTCAGTTACATAAATATCTTGACCTCTTTATTAATGAATGTATGTGGTATAATGTTCTTCTCACTTCCTCTGTCAGAGACAGCTTAGATTAAATTTGATAAACTAGAAAGCCTTAGTATTATGAAATGAGTGCATCATTTGATTCCTTCTATATAAAGTTCCCTCCTTTTTTCCCACAAGAGAAAAAAAACCAAAATGGAGTTGTACTTCTATCTCCATGTTTTTATTCTCATTCTTCTTGCTATGTTTGCTTTGTATGTGCATAATATATAATAAATAATGCATGAAATAGACTTTTAAATTTACCCAACATTTATTATTTGTTTCAACTTTTTAGACTTAACCTGACTTTTCTTTTAGTTGTTTTACAGACAGGTGAAAGTGCTAGTGAATGCTTTTGCCTTCGTTGTCCACCAGTTACTACTGGTCAAGGTGGAGTTGCTACTGGATGTTATGTAATCTCCTGGAAAAGGTAGCTGCTACTTATTTACTTTTTCAAGTATTCTGATGTATTGTTTGCAAATATGCAGCCCACGAAGTGGTTTCATGTGGCCTGCGAAGCCATCCTGGAAACAGTGAGGGAACGGCCCCTGCTGCCTTGGCCCTGGCCCAGGCCAGCCGGGAGCCAATGTACAATTTTGTGGTGGCCATCTATGCTGAAATGCGTTCAGTCTTAGCTCCACAAGGCTGTCTGGAAACAGTGAGGAATCAGGAGAACCTTTAGCATCAGCCTTGAGGAAGTGGGGCTGGGCTTGGTGCCGTGGGTGCTTGAGGGCCAGGCTGGGCATTTGACCTCTGCTGCCCAGGGTTCCGGGTAGCCCACATCACCATCCAGCCCCCCCCCCCCCCGCATGGCCTGAGAGGAACAGTGAGGCTCCTCCAGCGGACCATGCCTTGGCACTTGCCCTAGTCCCACCCCCTTCTGCCAGAGACCCTAAGATCTGTCCCACTCCTGCCCAGGTACCCTTGACGCGAACGATGTAGAGCTGGCCATACCCACCCAGTAGGCCACACCCACTCCATCCAAGCCCACCCAGTAGGCCACACCCACCCTGGCCACATCCACCAGGCTCCCTGAAGGCAACTGCAGTGCTGATGCGGCCCTCAATGAAACTGAGTTTGACACCCCTGGCCTAGTGGATTAACATTCTATTTTTAAAGGCATTAGCATTACAATTTAAACATTGCTATATGCCATTTAGGCAAAACAGAGAAAACATCTGGACACCTGGCCTTTTTTAGCCAAGATTCGTCATTGTTTAAGAAAAACAAGTAACAAGCATTTCAAGTTAAGTATCTGTTGCCATTCCCTTTAAAACCTTAACCAAAAAAATTTGTGGGCGTGTTCAAGGTAGCAAATATCTCTGTCTCCAGTTATTCAAACCATATTGTCAAGCAGACCAGGGTATTTGTGCCTTCTTTTAAATTAGTCTGAGATTTCCCCCTCCCTTGCCAAGCTCCCAATCTAACTTAACTTTTTAAACTGGAATGCTGCAAAGCAAAATATCAGCATTGTTTTTATCTCTAATAATGCCTGTGGGCTCTAATTAAAATTTACAAGCTTTGTTAGAAAATAAAACCAGATAGGTGGTTGCAGTAAACTGGTTCTTTGCACCTGGTTATGCTCCAAATAATACCCATTTTGTGAATGAGCAAGCTCTGAGCAACCACTTTGGAAAAGCACCCACTGTATACTTTCAAAGTGTGCCAAGCACTTCCAAAAGATGAGGACTTTCTCTAGCAATGCATTTTGGAGAACAAAGATATTAGAAATAAAGTAAAAACAGTTTCCATAATAGCAATGCTGAAGAGTAGAGTTAACACCAAATGTTGCTCAAAGCAGAATTTGACTGCTTTCTACAAGTTCATCTTGTGGAATACACTTAACTATTTTGAGCAGGGAGTTTTTTTATCTAGCTGTTTATGGCCTCTTGGTATATTGATGCCTGAAGGCCGCTGGTGTGCATAGCATGGATTGGGCTGATTCTCTGGCTTTTCCTGACTTTCTAGCTCTCCTGTGAATCTTTCTGTGCCAAACACATGATTGCAGAGCCATGTGACCATGAATCTTTCTGTCTTGATAATGAATGACCTGGCTTTCTTCAATGATCCCAGATACTTTTTCTATGGAGTCTGCAATGGTTAGAGAACCATGATCCTGACCCTTTGCAGCCTAAAATATTTTGAACCAGACTTAATTCGTATTCTGTGAAAATACCTCATAAGGCTGGTGATAAGTAGGCCTGCAGAATCCCAGAAAATATGCAGATAATTTTCTGTTAAGAGTTTTATTCACAAAACAAAATCTGTCTTTAAAGTTTCTGTTCTGTGTTTCATCTATATTTAACTATATGTCTTTTCTGTACATTTTACTAAGTTCAGATAAAAAACCAGGGCCTTTAGCCTTTCAAGAAACCACCTGTTGGAGAAATTGATAAATGAGAGAACTGTATTTGTTTTTGTTCCAGTATTCTTTGCACATTCATATTTCATTAATTTGCTATTTTGCCGATTACTAGAAATAAATTTATAGAATTCAGTTGTCTGACTGGTTATGTCTTTTTATATTACATCCTCCCATTTCAAATTTGGATTTCTTATAATTTTCCTATCTTAAATGGTTTATTTGCTGATATTTTTGTAATGACTACCATAATTAAAAATAAATTTTATTATTGTTAATTTTCTTATTAATAACCCTGTACTCTCTCTGGGAAGCGAGGGGGGGAGGGTTGAGGGTGGGTGGGTGGATGAGTGGGTGGGTAATGATAATATAGTCATGGTAAACGCTTGGGCATTTCCCCTATGCTGCGTTCATGTGTGTGAGAGGGATGAGAGGGGAGGAAGGAGTAGGGAGGAAGTAGGATGGTTAGAGGAAAAGGGGAGGGGAAGAGAGTAGGAGGGGAGGAGAGAAAGAGGAGGGAAGTAGGGAAGGATTAGAGAGGGTGGACGCAGTCTGGGGGGAATGGGCAGGCGGTACCAATGGTTAGGAATTTAATTGTATTTTGTATGAATAAATGGAAAATAAAAACTTTTTAATAATTAAAAATAAATAAATTTTAATATTTTTAAAGGAGCTCAGCTGTGGAGAACATACCTGTAGTTAACACTTTGATCACGCTGCCACATGTGATCACTGAAGGTATCCCACTCCATGTTAATGCAGGTAATATTCATGACTTATTTATACATGACTTACAGAACTTTCAGAAAGTTTATTATAGTTAGGGGAAAGTATCTGGGAGAAAAACAAGAAAATGTTTTAACTTGGAAACAACTATTTTCTCAGGGTAATCTTATAATTTTTGTTGAAGGCTTTGAATTCTCAAAATCTTTTTTTTTTAAATATAAGAGAAACAATTAGCAGAAAGTAGCACATTCTCAATATTTACCTGAGCCTCCCTCAAACTAGTAACTACAGTGTTCCCAGCCAGATTAAGTTATTGGCCATCATTAGAAAAAGACTACTTTGCAGTTTATTCATTGAATAACTATCCCCTTTACAGTCTGTACTATTACTGTGGTGAGATTACCCATTGAATATGTTTTTAATTTTGTATTTTAGCTTCCGTTCTTCATAGAGTAAAAGTTTAGTTTATTGGATTGATCTAAGAAATAATATGTGACCGAAAATCTGCAGCTGGTTTTAATAATACAAACAGAAAGCTCTTATTACTGCTACTCTGCTCTTATTGCCAAAGATAAGGTTGCCTTTGTTTGGCTTGGTTATTCTTTTTAGTGAGCTTTTTTGATATACAGGTTCATATTTTGGTATTACGCTCTTATTTGAAGTATTGCTACAGTTACTGTGATATGGGAAAGGCTTAAAGAATTTAGTTTGACAGGTTGTGAATACGTCCAGCAGGCAACTGTTTTCCATTGATTTGTTACTGCCTTTTCAATATACAAAAAGAAAACATTCCATTAGCTAGCTCAGTGCCATTGTTTTAATCACTTTCTCATAATGATGACTGACACACGATTAACAGTGGAATTTTCCTCTCAGCACTTTTCAGTGCTGAGTGTTTGAAAACAGAATTATGTTTTTCTCAGTCTCCCTTCTAAGATGATGTTTAAAACTTGTAATCTTTTAGTTATGAGTATGTAATCCTAAATAGCATTCATATATTTCAATGGAACTAAAACAGAAATAAGAAATCCCGTGTATTGAAACTCATGGAAATTATTGTTGTGCTTTCTTTCCAAGATTTGCCACCATTTGGTCGAGTCAGAGAATCCTTACCTGTAAAATTTCATCTGCAGAATAAGACTAATTTAGTGCAAGATGTAGAAGTAACAGTGGAACCTAGTGATGCCTTCATGTTTTCTGGTCTTAAGCAGGTATGGATCACAATGCATCTGTATTTTTGAATCTTCATTTAGTTTTGTTAATGAACTATAAGTCAATTAAGAGAAATTATGCAGCTAACTTGTGTTACAAAAGAAACTTGCATTCTGTCTGCCCTGTTAAATGTAAGCTAGGAAATGAAGTTTTAAAAGTGACTTGAATGCAGTAAAAGTGGCTTCCATTGAATCAGTATTATTTCTGAGTCAAGGTACTGTATATGAAATGATATCGAACATGCATCTGATTGGGCCTTTGACATTACAAAGAATGCTGCAGATTGATAAAAAGGTTGAGAACTATAATTGGAAAAAGTTTCACAAACTTAAAAAAACCTTTATCAGTTAGTCTATGTGTAATTAAGGAACTGACTGTGGGATGTACTTTTAGATAAGACTGAGAATCCTTCCTGGCACTGAACAAGAAATGTTATACAACTTCTATCCTCTTATGGCTGGATATCAGCAGCTGCCATCTCTCAACATCAGTCTGCTACGATTTCCACAGTTTACTAACCAACTGCTTAGAAAATTTATACCAACACACATCTTCGTCAAGGTAACATATAAGAGTGGTATCAAAGCTACAGTATTTAGCATTCTTTCAACATGTGGTTTGCTCTTAAAGGCAATAAGTTATTTTAAAATGATTTTCAGTGGAATGCCAGAATGGATTTCTGAAATAGGAGCAACATCTATTGAAAATAATAAAATATAAGGATGGAATCTGTAAATCAACCAGCAATTACTCAGTTTCCTCAACTGTATTTTTTTATGTAATTTGGCTTCTAGGAAAGCATGATAAGCTAGCTATTGTGTAAAATAAACTTTTTCACTAAAGCTTTTGCCTAAATTCACTGGAGGAAAATGTCATTCCATGTTCTGTTTTGAAAATGATTAGCTGAAGCAGATTTTCAATCTGTAATAAGTCTCACTGGATTATGAATGACCATAGTCATATGTGCAAATAATAAGGAATTGGAAATAATATAATGCCACATTGCAGCAATAATGGTACTAAGAACTGTGCATGTGATAATACATTTATTTAGCTACCAAGAAGTTAGCAAAGGACTCTTTTCTCTCCCTCCTCCCCACTTTGCATAGGGATTATCAAAATCGGTAGGAAGAAACCTGTCCAGGCAGAGTAAATGAAATATTTGAAAAAAATGTGATGTGCTTTTTGTGAATTACAATTACATTGTAAAACCCAACTTAATCCACCCTTTATGGTGACAGGGCTTTGTAGGCTACTTGATCACAGTACAACTAGAAAGGATGGGTATTTCTCAGGAATTCTGACAGTCAGAATGCCTCTTAAATCAGTCATTTACATTTGCTGCTAGCTAGGGATGTAAGCCACCTTTTCCCAGAAGGAATGAATGAGTATACTCCTAAACTGCAATATCTTCTAGGTTGTACAGGTTGTTTTTTTTTTCTAACTTTAGAAAAAAATTCAAATGCTTAAAATCTAGACATATGGGGCTTAAAATCTTCCTTGTGCTGTACAGTATTGTAATTTTTCTGAATAGATGGCCATGTTTTCTGCTGTAATAGTTGTTTTCCAAAACAGTAGACATAGATTAAGTGGAATAAAAGTATAACAACTTGCCATTTTCTATCATTTCTACCCATAGATGATAATTTCATAATTACTAATTCCATAATTAAGAATTATTCAGTGTTACCAATCTTAATAGGGCTTGCTTGCTGTTACAGATACTTTCAATGGAACATTATGGGTCACTGCTGAATCTCAGTACTGATCCTAAAATAATATGAAATTAATACATTATAGAGATTGTGTAAGTGTATAGAGTGCTATGTAACTGTGGGAAAACATATATATGAAATAATTCTCTCTTTATTTTTCTAAAGCCACAGGGCCGTCAATTGGACGATGCATCTATTGCTGCTGCGTAACTGAAGATTCATGCACAAAGGAAGCAGTTTTGCACAGAATTTATAGTAGCTTTTCCCCCAAAACTTTTGCTTGTCTTAAGCTACAAGTAAAATTGCTTTATATTTAGATTGGTTAAAAAATGTGGAATGAACTAAGTGTCCTGTGGACTTGATTGTAATAATTAAATATATAAAATATATAAAAAATAAGGGTTTTCTTTATCATTGACTTTCCTGAAATTAAGTGAATGGAAGATTTTGATAACATGGGTGAAATTACTAAAAAAAAAATATGAAATGTTGGCTTAAAAAAACAGAAGTCTGACGCTTTTGTTGTAGTAATTGATTTCACTACCATCACAAATACTTTAGCATTGACATTTTATGCTTACAGAATCCAATTTTATATAATATATTATGAATATCAAATATATTCATATATTTGAAATAAATAACAGTATTTATACACATTCTTCCTTCTTAGTAGGCTCTGGCTATTCATATGATGAGTTGCTATGTTAAATCATCTGCATTGTCATTTTGTACTTTTGAGAGGCCAGTTAATACTTGTTGGCTCTGGGTGAAACTGCTTTAGCCACATTTTCTCTTCCATAGTTAGGAGGGAGTGATATTATTTAGTTTAAAGAAATTACTCCGTAAAATACTGAGAAGCTTATGGTCCTTTAGAAAAAAAAAAATAAAGTTTGCCATAGGAAGAAACATATATGTTGTCATTAAATATTGTTATAAACGACTTGTATATAAGAAATGCTTCTTGTGGAACTGTGCCATTGCCATTGTAGATTTTTTGGAGTAGGCTGAAGTTGTCAATATTTTTTTTAAATAATTTACAGCAAGTCTAACATGGAATGTTTCAAAAACGGGCTGCTAATTATGAATTGCAGGCCATTTTAGAAAAAAGCTTTGTATGCTACAGGAATATCCACCAATCATTTAGTGGTAAAACTTTTGCTTAATCAGGACCCATTCCTTTATTAGTTTTTTCAACATGCAAATATCAGATAAGAAGAATGTGGATATAACATGGTATTCTTAATATTCATATTAAATCATGTAAATACCTGTTTTGTGAATGTTCTATTGTTTAATAAATTAATTTAAGCTTTAGCTTCTGGTCTCAAGACATTTCTCCTTTTCTAGAGTGATATAGTATATGCAAGTGGTTGTATGAACTGAGATATTTCATCCCAGTTCAGAATAACGAACTTTCTGTGACATCTTAAATAAATTTATGGTATATTGGTTCTTGTTTCTTTTTTGTAATATACACGTAAGAAATACAGTAAGTTCCAGGTCTATGAAGAACTACTAGGATATTAAATGGAAATCATTTTCATATCCAAAATGCCATCTAAATAATTAAGAGTAAGAGCCTAAAAATTTAGTTACTACTAAACAGTTACGACTGAAGTCACCGGATGATGCTCTACAATTGCATATGTAAATAAATAAATATCTATCAATACTAACAATGATACAATTCATGTGCAAGCAATCATTCTTATGCCGAAAACTATCTTGGATTTTTTGTGGAACTTGGTGGATTTCATTAAAAAAGCATGTGGACAAAAAGCTGGAAATGGCCCATCTTTAATTTTTAAATATGTTTAAATTAATATTTAAATAGCCAAATTGAATACCATACAACATATTTCTGTCTAGCAGTAACCAGTCAATTGCTTTTAAAAGGTTCAAAAGAAGGGCATCAAAAGCCTTAGAGAAAATAGCACTCTACTGTTGAGACCCTTAATACCCAAAAGTCCATTTGAGAACTGTTCTAATCCTCTCTGAGAAAAATCATCTTTTTGTTCAAGCCTTGGGCATTATCCATTATTGAAATACAAGCTTCTTACCTTGCCTATGTTTTGCCTCCATTTTCTTGTCATTTTTTAAAATTTGTAAGGTCAAAAGGTCCATTCTTAATATTTGCTCTGTTCTGTACTAGGACATCAGTGACATGTCAGATTAATATTAAAGAAGAAAACAAAAATATTGAAGAATTTACTAGTACAAAGGAAGGGTAAAAAAAAAGGAAATCTGAAAATGAAAAACAATAAGCAATGGTATTTGAAGTTAAAAATATATCATTAATTTTCAAACAGCTGATGAGGTTTTATTAGGCATAGTAAAATGGTGATTTTCAAAAAAAAATTAAGTATGAGCAAACTCGTGATACTTAATTTAAAAATATATGCATAGTTTTTTAAAAATGGCTATTAAGAAAGTGAATTAAGATCCACTTGGTTTTTCCATTTTATTTGTGTTGTGTCACTTCTTTTCTTTATCTTCTCAGAGTGATGGCAGGATGTTATAGGATGTGTCCAGACCTGAGACACTGGTACAATGGAGCTGTCTATCTTCAGTGAAAGGCTATAATATAAACAGAAATGCAATTAGGGCACCAGCTCTAGCCTTCTTTTGCATTTGTTTTTTTTTTGTTTTTTTTTTTAAACTATTTTAAGTGTAACATTCTTTTGAAATGCTTTTTTAATTTTCTTTGCATCTTTAGTTTATGCTAAGTATTTCATTTGAAATTATTTTCCTAACAGATTTGAAAAATATTTTTGTACTATCTGCATACATCTATACTTAGTTTACATTTAAAGTACATCTATTTTTTTAATATTATGGGGATTAGCAAAGGGTTATTTTCCCCAAAGAATTTTTATATTTCTCAAGTTTTAAAGTTCTCATTAGACCTCTATATTACAACATAATATCTGATTCTTAATGTTTTACAGTATTCAGATAAATCATAACTTCCACACCACTTAACCTCAGGTAAGATAGGCAATTTAGTGCTCTCCAGATGATCTGACTTATAGTCCTTGCACTTGGTCATATTGGCTGGTTTAATGCAAGTTGAAATTGAAAATATGTGACCAATCACAAGACTGTCTACTCCATCCTATATATATATATCTTAGGAACGTTAATTGTACAGCAATAGGTATTATAGTTTGGCATTAGAAAACCACAGGTTTCTCATTCCTGATTGTATTCTTCAGTTCCCAATTCCTTTAAGAATATGTCTGGAAATAGATGTCATGTAAGCATTCATTGCTTTGTGCTCACCCACTCTTACTTTTTTCACTCAATTTGCAAAGCATTCAATCTTAATTTTTGCCCAGAAAGAATATGGTTGGCACAAGCCTCATAGATTAGAGAAACAGTAAGTATTTTTAATCTCTTCATTTTAAATTTGCATTTATTTTAATAACTATTGTAAGAATGAAGATTTTGTCAGTATTTGGTTTTGCTTTGTATGGAAGAGATGAGTAACGTATATGTGGGGGTGACATCATTTTGGCTGATGTTATATTGCTAATGTTTCTGCATTCTGGGGAGCCACCCAATATATTAAAAACTCACATTGGAATAGCTTCAGTCAAGGCTCAAGCATGATGCCAACTTAATTATCCTTGTAAATGTACAAATGAGCAATCTAATGTTCATATGAGTCAATAATAATCTAAATCTGTTTCTTAAACTTTTTGCTCTTAGAACATCTTCCCACTTCTTAACAATTACGGAGGATCTTAAAGAGTTTTTGTTGTACATGTTTTATTTATAAATATTTATCATATTAAAAATTAAATCAGCACATTTATTCAATGTTTATTGAATAATGTAAAATTAATACTAAACCCATTAGATCAGGGGTGTCAAACTGCCGGCCCGCGGGCCGGACGCATCATATGGAAGCCGTGCCCACCCCATTGCCAGCAATGGCAAAACCGGCCCAATACATTGCGCGATGTCATGTGACATCGCGAGTTGACATGCCTGCATTAGATACTAACAAAGTATTGTTGATAAAAATGATAATTTTAGCAAATAAAACACAATGAGAACAGTGAAATTAAATTTTTGGAAATATCTTCAGTATCTGACAAATATTTTGATTCTGTGGACCTTGAGTGAGTCTTGGGGGACCCTCAAAGGTTTCTTAAATCACACTTAAGAAACACTGATCTAAATGAAGGAAATTTTAGAAATGAAGAAAAATGAAGGCAGAACAGGAAGAAATGGGTGGAACTAATCAAGGAGAGAACCAACCTAGAAATAAAGAGAAATTTTCTGACAGAACAAAATGAAATAATGATGAATATCATTGGATTCTATTTCCAAAGAAATTGACAATAAATCTTGCTGAGTAAAGACGATAGTCACACTCTTGTGAGATGGGTGGCCATATAAATAGAATACATAAATAAGTGGCATGATTTAGTGTTAGCTAAGAAAAAGATTTGGAATTAAGTAGTATCTGTCCTCAAAGTATGTCAGCTTGTCCTCAGATGTAAGAAATACTGATCTCAGCAAAAAACAAATCTTGGATTTTTTACCTTTAAAAATTACCACAATTACCTTTCAATGTTTATTCAAATGTTCTTGCCACCTAATTTCTTCAATTAATTCAGGCTAGTTTCAGCAAAAAAATATAAAAATGTTGGCATTATATTGTGATCTTTGAAAAACTATAAAATCTTGACAAAATAATATTTTCAAATGCAAATAGAAAAGCTGAAAATGAAGGGCTTAGGTTTAATTCCAACTGGTGCTGATGTAACAAAGAATAATAGCTGCAATTTGGAGACCTCAGTAGCTTAAACCAATTAGGAACAGATGGGAAAGATATCAAGACCTGCAAGAGCTCTTGAAGTGGGGGGTGGGGCATGGATAAATTTAAAGAGTCCCTGAACCCGGATAGAAAAAATGTTACAACTTTATTTTCATCAATATCCAACTAAAATGTAACATTTTTATTTAATAATTTCACTTTCTTACTCAAGCTAAACAAGACCACCACTGAAACACCTTTTTAAAATTAATTTTAACTGGCCTATCTTTTGAAGACAATCACTACTTCGCTTAACCTCAAATACTGGAGCCATCAAAAATATTAGAGAAAAGAGACCATGTAATTCTGGAATTGTTGACTGTAAAAATTGAAAATACACACAAAACAAATGATTGCTGCAGAAAAATAAGAATGAGAGAAAGATACCCCATTGAGTGTCTTGGTTTTTTTTCTCAGACAATATAGCATTTTTTCAATTCCACTACTGTCATACTATTGTTGCCTGCATCCCACCAACTACCGTATTTTCTGGCATATAAGATGACTGGGCGTATAAGACGACCCCCAACTTTTGAGAAGATTTTCATGGTTTTAACAAGTCATCTTATATGCCGGAAAATACGGGTATTTTAACTTTCTAATAAAAGTAATGTAAGTCCTAAACACATTAGCATTTCATTCTATTTCATCGCTTGTTCCTGATCTGCTGAAGACAAATGTAGCTGGGTAACATCCCATAATAAGCGTGGAGGTGCACTTGTGAAGCTTTGCAATATATGAGGAGGACTAAAGGATAGCGGGAGGCGGGAGGGGGGAGGAAAGCTGGTCGCGGCGCTAGCCAAGCCCAGCTGTCCAACAGATAGAGACTTTGGATCCATTTTCTCCAAATGGAACTGAAAACACCCTCTACTCCCATTTGCCCAACCCCCAAGGCTGCCCACGCTGTGTGGGGCTGGCAAAGCGGCGCATCCTAAAGTCCGTCGGTGGAGGCGCCTGCCAGATCGTGGGCGGATCGCTTTGTCATCTGCACAGCAAGAGCACCAGCCAGGTGGCAGGTTGCCAAAGAAGCGGCCGTCCGTCCGTCGAGGTCCCAGGGCTTCTGGCGCTCAGCGCAACAGCACCAGGTGTGGTCAACCCCGAGGAAGCAGCACCCTCTGCGCAGGCGCCGGCTCCCACCAGCTGCTCCTGCCAGCCACCCGAGCAGAGGCTAGTGGCAGGGGTGTTTCCCCAGGGAAGGAAAAGCCCCACTCGCACTACCTCTCTCCACCGCCCTAGACTGGGAGGGGACAGGATCCCCACCCGGGGGGTGGACGCTTGTGCGAAATCGCTGGCCTTCTGCGAGCGCTGAGCAGCACTTCAGCAGCAAGGGAAGCCCCCACCGCTGACCCAACAGGGGCATTCTTACTCGGCTGGCTCTCTGCCAGCGCTTCTCTCCCGCCATTGGTCCGCCAATGCTCCAACCTCGGCCCTTCCTCCTGGCTGTTTCTCGGAGGGACACTTTTCTAGGGCTATTTGGCTGCGTGGGACTCTTAAACTCTCATCCGGACAGCCAATCCCCGCGCCAAGGGGTGAGGAGCCTGGGGCGCAGGATACGGGGGAGCTTGCTTTGATGTATCATATTTTCTGGCGTATAAGACGACTGGGTGTGTAAGACGACCCC